TTACCGACGAATAGGGGGACTGACCGTCACATTAAAACGGATCCACGGTTGAAAAGGCGAGCATGTTTGGTGTGACGGGGATTCGAACCCGCGACCCTCAGATTACGAGTCGAGCGCCCTAACCACCTGGCCATGCCGGGCCTATTTGTGTACATACATCGGTTTAAAACATATCAAAATATTAATCTTTGTGCTTTGAAGTGTCAGAAAATGAAGATTATACGTGATGATTATTTGTAGAATTGTTTGTTTGTTGTTTACCTCATTATTCTGGGGATGTGGTAAATCAAGTTGTCAGTGATAAATCAACTCTTCACTGGTATGATTAGCAATCGGTTGATATCAAAGTAATTAAAAACGGCTAAAAAGGTGTTAAAGATATGCTTTAACGTTTTATTGAGTTAATTCAGCAGCATCAGGTATAACTTAACCAATATTAGACAAATGATAATATAACCCACACAGTGTGCCGTGCTTGTTGTAGCCCAGATGGCTTAGAGTTCTGGATTAAGCGAAACGTGTCATCGGCAATGGATATGACAAATATTGTGTGGTTGGAATACTATTATACACTCTTCTAATTCTTGAAAATCCCTAAGGGACCAAATGTAGTGTTTAAAATTAAATGGGCCTAATACCAATGTCTTATGACAAGTAAAATAGTAATCAGTCTCCGCCGGCTTGTGAAAGGTGTACACATCATGACAACAGAATAATGTCATACAAACGAAGGTTTGTTTGAAGTTAAGCACAAAGCTACACAATGAGCTATCTGTGCTCCGCCCACCACGGGTATCGAAACTCGGATTCTAGCGTTTCAAGTCCGCAGACATACCGCTGTGCCACTGGGGGGGCTACAAACGAACGAGACATTTACATTAAGACATGAAGAGATGTATATTTATTAAGATGTATATTTATTAATGGGCTACAAGCGCAACTTCCTACTTAAAGTAAAAACATTTAACTTATCTAACTTATATCCAGTGTTAGGAGTCGTAACAAAATGTGATTGTGTGAATATACCGTTAATTAACTCTAGAGGTGAGATTTCTACCAGATCCTCTAAAATTCATCACATCGGTTGTTGTAATGACGAAGAAACACGTTGAAGAGCAAATGAAAAGTAGAATTTTAAGCTTTTCATGATTAAGCCATGACTGTTTATCAACAACTTACATATCAGACCATGTTAAAACAAGTTCTACGTATGTCTATCAATAACAACTATGCTGAAACAATTGCGACGATGTTTCCCTGATGAGGTTTCATCATGCGCAACTATTGATCTTTACAGAACAAAAATAGAATGATATGACAGTTGAAATAACACCTCTTTCATAGATTAACAGAGGAGAAGATGACAGCCGATTACTTTTGTTTATTTGCTTCGGATATTCGCACAAAGGCTTTCTGCCTTAGCAGTCCCTAATTCTGTACTGGTAGAATAGAGGAAAGGCAGCTAGTCAAGAGCACTCATTGCCAAGTAGTGGGGATTGATCTTCGTTCTTATAACGCACACAACCCCCCAAAAAGTGGATTTGTTTTGTTGGAAGTTAAGCACAAAGTTACATAATGGGCTATCGGTGCTCTGCCCACCTCGGGTATTGAAACCCGGTTTCTAGCGTCGTAAGTCCGCAGACATACCGCTGTGCCACTGGGGAGGGGGGGGGCAAAAAGTGGAGCGCGAGTTTACAGCAACGAGACTCGAGATATAGACCCTCTGATTCAAAGTCCAGCAAACTAAGTACCATACTACACCCCCTTCCCCAGTTGATTAGGGTCTGTAAACCTTTTCTCCTAACTTCTTAAATCTTCCAGTCAAGCACTTTTAATACCGAAATACGTGTATGTGTATTAATAACACTAAGAAATTACATAGAACTAAAATTAATATGGACCTTCCAAGCTCTTTCAAGAAGCAAAAAACGGTTTTTGGAGAAAGACAAAATGGCTGATACAGAATCCTCAAAATAAATACCTCACCCTTCAGAATGAACTTACTGCTATTACGTTCCGCTCAAATTTTATATAATAGAAACTCAGATGTACTGATGTGATTTTAATCACCGCGAGTTCTGAACTCATTCATCACAGCATGCCACACTACGATGCGTGGTGCTCATTTTCTCCATATATAGACAGTGCCACCTAGGGTAACCCTTTTTTTTTAGTTTTTAAAATGACTACATAATTTCTCGTAATTACCATTACATTCGTGTCAGTTCATTACAACCGCATCAGGATTGGCATTTAAACTCTTTTAATTCAAGTCAAAGGATTTATCTTTATCTCTTTGAATCCAAATGAGAGGATGTAAGTCTTTTTTAATCCAAATTAAAGGAATTAGCTTTTGTGTTGTTTTATCCAGTTCGTCCATTTTAAGATATAAAGAACACTCTACAGTTCATTCGCATGATCTTATTACTTCACTTGTTTGCTTGTTTCTTTGTTGTTAGGCAAAAAAACTACACGATGGCTATTTGTGCTATGCCTACTACGTGTATCGAAACTCGGTTTCTAGCGCTAATAAATTTTGAGAAATACTGCTGAACCACTGGGGGTTACTTTAATTGTTAAAGCTAGCGGAACTGTTGAACTTTATCAAACAGTTTTGATACCGAATAAAGTTATGTGAAATAATAACGGATGTACAAATACATAAAACAAACAACACGAAACATTATTAATTAACTTCGCTTTAAGCATCCTAAAAAAAATAAAAGTATCTTCCGAAAAGTAGGGAGCAGTCGGCCCTTGTATTCGAACAGACGTAATTAATGTTTCAATTGAATAACGATGACGATACGTCTTCTGATTATATTATTATTATCATTACACTAACGAAACTAAGGGATATAAAAGAAATTTCTATCCTTATCGATGCTGAGAATGAATTTAAATGCCAAACTCATTTAGATTATGCATGAGACGCGTTGAGGCACGCTTTTACCCAGACGTTGAATAAACCGAGACAAAGACGGCGACAAAATCGAATATTTAGTTTGCAGTTTAGTGGCACAGGGGACGCTGTTGTCTCTACCTCTGCTTTTGGTAATAGTCTCTATTATAATCAGAAATCGGGTTCTGTTATTTTAGAAGACTGGACAATGCGTTACTTGTTCCAACACTTGGGCGGCAAAGAAAAACAGGGGTCGGGGGAGGGGGTACCGTCTTAAGATTGATTTCAAGCAGTTTGAAAAAAGAAAGACCTAATTTATTCGCCTCGTTCCGCCACATGATTTGGAACACTAAAAACCAGGTATCGTGCTTTGTCTTCTTCTGTTCCTCTGAGAGTGAAAATTTCAAAGAGAATAACTATGGTAACAGTTCTTCTACGTACACGTTGTTTTCGTGCATGTAGAAATGTCACACGTGTGTACGTTATTCATTATCGAGTTAGTGCGCGAACCACAAACAACTCGTGTGAAAGTAATGACGCAATAAAGCTATAAAAAATGCACATTTTATGGAATAAAAGTAATTTTACCGTGAACTATTAATCAGTAAATATTAATGAGTAAAACCAGGAATATTAAGTTATTAATATCCACAGATAGAGCTAAAATATAAGTAAAAGTTTTAGTTAGAAAAATGAAATTCAGCATACGTGGAAGAAATAAATAAATAAATATATAAAGGTTTCGCATTTGTACAAAACATGTTTGCCCTAATATGACCGCCATACTGTAGTAAGAATATTCTTTCTTTTTTTTTTCTAAGGAAACTGAAATAAACCAAAATGTTTCAATTTACCATAATAGACACACTACTAGTCTTGGTAAAAACAACTATAGGTTTATCTAAGTTATTAAACTATACGTGTGGTAGAGTTTTTACCTATTCTACAGACTTTCGAATGCGAGTTAATGTTAAGGATTCAAAACAGACAATATGTAGTATACTTATATAAAATCTTTGCGGGTTTTATTATAAAAAATATTGGCCTGGCATGGCCAGGTGGATAAGGCGCTCGACTCGCAATCTGACGGTCGCGGGTTCGCATCCCACCAAACATGCTCGCCTTTTCAGCCGTGGGGGCGTTATAATGTGACGGTCAATCCC